TGGCGCAGCACCAGCAAAGCCACATTGCTGAGACAGCGATGAGTTTCTCACTGTGCTAAGTATTCTCCATCAGAAGATGCCTGGTTTGTCTGGGAACACGGCCGCCCTGAGAGTGGACTCCCTCTGCGTCCTCAGCCCTCAGACCCCCCAAGGGAGACACAAGGAGGGCAGAATGCCGCCACGACTGTGGGGGAAGTTCGCTTGCATGCTTAGAGCCCCCTCTGGGTGTGCAGTGCCCTTTCCCCATTTCCCAAAGCTCACTGCCCCTCACGTCCTCCACCGTGAGGAAAGGCTCTAACTACATCCACGCACACCAGCTGCCACGGGCTTCTGTGTGAAGCCACGGGAGAGGGACCTGGTAACTGTGCAGTGGTCTGTGGCTCCAAAACTGAAAAGATGGTCTTGGGTGTAGACTGTGTCTGCTCGTGTGAAGCCCTGGGCTCCGTCCCCTCGAAAGCCAAAGCACCAGCGCAGAAAGGACAGGCCCCGTTGTTCCCTCCAGCCGTCCTGGGAGGAGCGCTGGCGCGCAGTGTGGTCCCACCACTCTCTGGTATACAATGCACATTAGTGGCTCTGGTAGTTCAGTTGAGAACCAAGGGAGAATTTCAGGCCAGGGAAGAAATTGGAAAGACTCACCACTCGAGGCCCCAGAGATGAGAACAAGCAGCTCGGCACCCTTTGCCTTTGGCCTTGGCAAGGATGCGGGTAGGGGCGAGGTAAATGCCAGTCTACTCCGCAGTCTGGGTTCTCACCACTCCTTAAGACTTTTTCGCAGTTAACCTTGGTTTTTACTTTTTATCCCCCCCTCCCTTAGATTTTGGAAGATTATGCCAAAGCTCCATAAGGGACTAGAGGAAAAAAACTTATTACAAAAAATTAATATACAATATTAGAAAAATGCCTTTTTGGTATGGCATCGCTTAGTTACTGGCATGGAGAAAAAAGGTACATTGAAAAACAAAACCCCGAGTATCAGTTATTGTGAACGAGGCATATTTTCAGGTGTTGCATTTGCACCAATACACATTTGCCAGATGTAACTCAAGCTGGAGAAGTCGCGGGAGAGGCCGGTGTGCGCCAGAGCTCCATGCTGTCGCAAGGCGCGTCCCCCTCTGTCTGCAGTATCAGGAGGCAACGCACAGATCCGCATTTGGCGTCAACCTGCAGTTACAGACACGTCACACTTGCTGGATAAAACTGAGTCTGAGAAGTGAATGAAAGGCAGGAACGTCACTGCTAAAGGCTGCTGGGTCACTGTTTTGCAACCTGGATGGACACAGTGCAGAGCGAAAACTCCGCCCGGAAGAAATCAAGCCTTCCACAAAATAGCTTGGTTTTATTGGTGAAGTGATGGAAATGTGTATCCAGTCCTAAAGGTGTTGCTGGAACCTCAGGGTCTGTAATGGCTTTGGAATTCAGATGGCAACAGTTCACATTTTGTCCTTTTAGAAATTGTGAGACACATTCTCATCAGAGCTGGACTCCAAATAGCTGTGATGAGGAATGGTCTGCCTTTATCTCCCCCTTGCAGATGAAAAATTACCAGTTCAGTAATTCAGGGGGTTAAGACTAAAGGCTCCTTTTACATTAGGTGCCATTTTGCAGCCTTGACTTCGTGCTGTTCTGATGACTGGTGTGTCGTACAGAGTGACACTGCGGGTTTCTCCACAACGCAAGGAAAGGGTTTTTTTTTTTTTTTTTTTTTTTTTTTTTTGCGTTTTTAAGTGTAAGAGACTATCTTCGTTAATCTCTGTGTTTATTGGTCTGTTTTAGTCTTAGAGATGAGCTACCGATCCGCATCAGTCTGATCAGTACCGAGTTTTCTTAGCTACTAGTACTGTCTTTTTTCACACCCCGTCTTTGCATTCAATTGAGAAAGAAAGGAAGTAGGACAAGTCTGTTTTAGAACCATGAAAACGTGCTGCAGTCTTTCCTTTATACGCTTCGTGCTATGTGGTCTCACACTGCTAAAGCCTCAGTATTATGCTGTATTCTCACCACACCAGCTCGAGGGAGCAAGTTTTTGTGTACCTGATAAGCAAGTTTGGCATCTAATAAATGCTTTTTTATGATGATAACAGTGAACCGTGTTTTGTTGTTTTGGGGGCTACAATCAGTGGTGCTCGGGGGTCGCTCCTGGTGGAGCTCAGGGACAGATAGGGAAAAGGGGGCAGGAAATGCCCAGCCCGCCTCACTGTGAAGAGGCGCATCTTGAATCCACCTCCCTTCCGGTCCTTTCTCCAGCGGCCCGGCCTGCAGGCCAGGGCTCATTCTCCTGGACAGTGCTCTACGGGGCAACCCAGATCTCCCACCGCTGGAGTCACCAACTACGGGACAGTGTGAGGGGCTGGCTGACCACTTCTGTGAGCCCAGCCAGCCCTGCCTTGCCTTGTGACCGGCCCCGCTTGCTCCTCTCCTGCTCCCCAAGTTTCTCGACCAAAACGTGTAAGAGAGATCTTCATTTATCCAGGCACCCCGAACAAATGAACAAACCCCAGTGATGTTCTCCTGGGACCACATCCTGTCTCCATCCTGGACAGCAATCCCGTAGGTTTGGCAAAGACCCCCAGGTGCCCACTCATTCTTATCTGATGAGGTAGCCAGCCTCCAACCTGACACCTTCCACTTGTGTTTTGGGTAACGTTCAAATACTGAGTATGACTTGGGACCTGCCCAGCAGTACCTCCTGCCAGTTTCACCCAGTTTCTTGCCTTCATAGTCTCTCCAGCATCTTCAGTCCATCAGATTTCATCACATATACACCAACTTCCTCGTGTGAATATAACATCCTTTTACCTGGACTAGCTTCTCCCCCAACACACACACACACACACACACACACACACACACACACACTCCTTCCTCTGTCTGCCTCAGAGCTCTTGCTTGTAATTGAAGAGTCATACCATGTCGCTTAATACATTTATGGGGATATGGGGACAGGAACTAGACCCTTGGCAAGAGGTTCAAAGTTATGCATTGAAAGACTGAAACTCCTCCACTGGTTGTCACTTTTCTACTCTTGCCTGGGACTGGAAGTGAGAGAGGAAGGGTTTGAGCACTGGTCAAAGAAATTGGAAAGAAATTTCTGAAGAGAAAGAGGCGGGGAAGAAAGAGAAGAGTGGGAGAGGGTAGGGGCAGAGGAGAGAGAGGGCGGAGAAAGAGAGGAGAGAGACTGGAGAGAGAGACAGAGAAAGAGAGAGGAGAGAGAGACAGGTTACGCTGAGCTCTGGGCCTGCAGGGAGTGTCCAACAAAGGCAGAGACTGCATTGCACGGGGAGAGGCGGGGACAGTGACACCTGCTTTCAGACCCGAGGTCTGAGCTCTAGTACAACAGAGGACATCCGCTCCCACTCTGCTGAACAACTCCAAGAGTAGAAAAATCAAATCAAAATCAATTACCTGCCTTCTGAAAGGCACAAAGTGCCAATGAGCAGCAAACGTGTGGAGAGAGGCTCAACATCATGGTCAAAGTGACACAAGCCCCCGCCAGCAGGAACAACAGGACAGAAGCACAAAGGCCGACAAAAATGTGAGGAAACTGGACTCTGACACGTGTGGAACTGTAAAATGGTGCTTGCCCCGTGGAAGACCGCCTGGCAGGACTTGAATGTTACACTGAGAGTTAACATCTGCCCCAGCAATTCCACTCCTAGGATAAACCCGAGAGATGCTGAAACAGACTGTACTCGTAGGAAGTTTTAATGGATGCTCTTAGCACAAGACGAATAAAATAGTAGAGAAGTGGGAACAGTTCAAATGGTGATCAACCGATTCCCATGAAACGAAATGTGTCTGTCCATACAATGAAATATTAGTTAGCCATAAAACGCAAAAGTACTAATTAATGTTACCAACTAAATAAAAGCAGAAGACACTGTACTGAATGAAAGGGGGGAAGTGGAAGGGCTAATTATTTTAGGCAGTTTAAGACATTTGAAAACTAGGGGCTAGAGAAACAGTAGCGCAAGTAGGGTTCTTTCCTCACATTGCAGTTCAAAATAGAGTCAACCCCCAGCACCCCAGATTGTTCCCCCCAATCCCTGCCAGGAGTAATTCCTGAGTGCAGAGCCAGAGCATCACCAGATATGACCCAAAATTTAAGAAAAAAAATTCTTTTTGAAAATTGGATTTCGATGCTTTAAAGAAAATGTACTAAAATAATATGAACATATTTTTATCACAATGCTTTTTAAATTATTCATTATTTCTGTGTGGGCCTCATCCCAGACATCCTTCAGGCACTGAGGCAAGAGCTGAGGCTGCAGGCGTGCCCTGGAACATTCTAAGCCATGGCACTGTCTGCGGGATGCTCCTCGCTTGGGATCATGGTTATATCAGCACCCGTGGACAGCACTGGGTAAGCACCTGAACCATCCTTTGGGCCCCTAATTTTTCTGTGTGATACTGGGGAATCAAGCCCAGGACCACCAAACCCATCCCTAAACCCCCAGTTTTGCTATTCTCATAGCTACCAATGTAGTGAGAAAGGAGAGGCGTGAGAATTCCAGACTCCTTTCCACCCAACACTCACTGAAGCTTCTCTCTGTCTCTTGGCAGGGGGATGGGAAAGCTCTGGAGATTTCTTCTTCTAAATCAAGGTGCTTGAATATTAGTGGGATTTCCTCAACTGTGTATGCAGATGTGACTGCATGTTCGTATATACAAAAGCATGGGCTATGATCACTTGGGAACCCTGTGCACAAACAAATCCATCTCACTGCATCTATATCTATCCTTTTTTTTTTGCTTTTGGGTCACACCTGGCGATACACAGGGGTTACTCCCGGCTCTGCACTCAGGAATTACTCCTGGCGGTGCTCATGGGACCATATGGGATGCTGGGAATCAAAACCCAGGTCAGCCGTGTGCAAGGCAAATGCCCTACCAGCTGTGCTGTAACTCCAGTCCCTGCATCTGTCCCTTGGGAAACTGCCAGGCATGACATAGTAGTGTAACAATAGCAGATAATTTATAAACCAATTCATTGCCTTGGAATCCTGGTGGATCTCTCGTCTTTATTAAAGCAGTAAGTGCATGATAAAGATTGTCAGGTATGACAGCAAGTGGTATAAATAGTTATAAATAGAGGATGAGCTTTAAAAAAGAATATATGCTTAAATATATTTCAGAGAATAAATAAAATAGGGGGACAGCTGAGGGTCGTCCTGTTTGTCCCTCAGCAAACGTGTCTTCCTCTCCGACAGAGACGCCCCTTCTTGGTGCCCCGCTTCCCAGCCCTGGTGTCTCTCACCCTGTCCCGGTTCCCAGACCGAGCCAATCAGCTTCCCATCAGTGCTTGAGGGCACGCAGACATCTCGGACAGTTGCATGCCAGGGGAGGGGTGAGAGGGGCAGCCCTGTGGCTCAGTCATGGTGGTGGAGTCGGCAGTGCTGGTGAAAGTTGGAGCTCTGGCGGAAGCTTTTCCCACACTGGCCGCACTCGAAGGGCTTTTCCCCGGTGTGGATCCTCAGGTGCAGCTTCAGGGTGGACTGGCGCCCAAAGCAGCTGCCACACTCCCCGCAGCAGTAGGGCCTCTCCCCGGTGTGCATGCGCTTGTGTCTCTTCAGCTCTGAGTTCCATGTGAAGCTTTTCCCACAGTCCTCACATTTGTAAGGTTTCTTGGCTGAGCGCACGGGCTGGTGGCCAGGATGCTGCCAACGGTTGCTCAAGCCCCTTCTACTCCCTTTGCTCTGCTTCAGCTCCTGCAGAGCGTGGCTACTGAGGGCATTGCCGCAGTAGTCCAGCTCCCTGCACAGTCTCTGGTATTGAACAAATGGCTTTGGAGCTCTGGGGGCGCTGATCTGCCTCCGTGACAGGTGGGCTTCACTTCCGTTTGCCCCTCTAGGCTTGGGACTCTGGGGACGCTGCAGACCGCTGCCCCTTGCCCTGCTGGCTGACACTGCACATGGTTTTGCCCCTTTAGCCCCTTCCTGCTGTGGATTTTCCTTGTTGTCATTGTTCAGTTTGGGGGCCTCTATAATTAGAAAGAAATGTCTCATTTTTTGGTCTTGGAATCAACCTCAGCAGGTGATTTATGAAACACGCATGGAGGTGGCCCCAAGTGCGCTCTCCCACTGGGAACCCGAGAGACTCATCCAGGTACCTGCAAACTGGAACATGGGCTGAGTATGTGTCCTGATTACAGAAACGCCCCAACATGTGACTAAAGCAGCTGGGACAGCTTGGGGAGAAGTCAAAGGGTCCAGTGTAACAATATCCAGCAGGACTTACTGTGTGTGCGACAGCAAGTAATACAGTCAACAGCCACACATGGCTCTTGCGCACTTGAAATGGGGGCACTTGAATGTGATGAGACAGGGAACTGGTTTTGTTTCGCCACACCAGTGGTGCTCTGGGAGCTACTCCCAACAGTGGTTAGGGGATCCTGCAAGTTGGAGACGGAAGCCAGGGCAAAGCATGCACCGGGACCAGAGACAGCACAGCGGGGAGGTGCTGGCCTTGCACACGACCAACCTGGGGTTCAGTCACTGGAAATTCATGATCCCCCCAAGCACTGCCAGGAGGAAACTCTGAGCACAGAGCCAGGAGTCAGCCCTGAGCACTGCTGGGTATGGCCACAAAACAAATAAAATAAACAAACAAAAAAATATATTTCAGCCCTAAGAAATTTCTTCCCATTTATGAGATTGAATTTTAATTTAATTCAAATTTAAAGGATCAATCCTTTCAATTCTATTAGATTTAATTTATAAAATGGTTATCAAGCAATTCAATAAGAAAGGGATAGTACCAATAAATGGTGTTGGGGCCAGACAGACAGCACAAAGAATGATGTGGGGCTTCATATGTGGGGCACAAGCTCCATTCTTGGTATCACATGGTCCTTGAGCACTGCCAGGAAAGGAATGGCCCCTGAGCACAGAGCCCAGAGTAGCCTCTGAGCTACTACCAGCTAAGGCCCAACCCTACAATAAATGGTTTTGAGGCAATTTGATCTCCACATCCAGAAAGAATGAGCTGGGCTGGAGTGACAGCACAGCAGGGAGGTGTTGCCTTGCACATAGCTGACCCGGGTTTGATCCCTGGCATCCCCTAGCACTGCACAGAGCTGGGAATAGCCCCCAAACACTGCAAGGTGTGACGCAAATACAAAGAAAAAATTTCAAATGTTTCCATGTCAGAGCACTATCAAGAAAAATGAAAAGACCCATCATATTAGAGAAAATGCTCGTGAAAAAAAAAAAAGAGCCTAATATGCAGAACAACAAAAATAATTTTAGAATTCAACACTGGAAAAACTAATCCAATTTAAAAGTAAGCAAAAATAAATCAATAAATAAAAATAAGCAAAGACTCTGAGTAGACACTTCTCCAAAAGAGACTTACAATTGACCTATCTGCCCAGGAAATGAGGTTCAGTGAAGTGAGCCATCAGGGAAGGAAAGACCTGTGAGATCACTTAGCTGCCACCAAGAAGACTGACAGCAACAAGCACTGACAAGGGTGTGGAGAAACTACAGCCTTTACAGGCTGTAGGTACAGTCTGTAACCCATTGGGTTACTTTGGGAAACAGTCTGGCAATTCCTCAACAGGTTAAACACAGTTACCAGATGACCCAGCAATTCCACTCTAATGTAGATATGCCCAAATAAATCCCAAATAAATTAAAATGTGTCCACACAAAACTCGCACACAAATGTTCATAGTGGCATTAATTAAAGCAGCCCCCAAATGGAAATAACCCAAATGTCAACCAACTGATGGATAAGTGACATCTGGTACAGCCACACAATAATTATCACTCAGCTTTGAATAGAAATGAAGCACTGACGCATGCCACAACATGAGTGAACCTTGAGAACATCATCAAATAAAAGGAGCCAACCACAGAAGTCCACACAGCGCATGATCCCATTTATGTGAAAAGTCCAGAGCTCGGAGTAAGCCCTGAGCACTGCTGGGTGTGCCCCCACAAATGATAATAATAACAAAAATTGTAAATTTCATAGAATATGTACCTCGTCTACACAGCTAAGCCTGGCAAGCTACCCGTGATGTATTCGATATGCCAAACACAGTAACAGCAAGTCTCACAATGGAGACGTTACTGGGCCCGCTCAAGCAAACTGATGAACAACGAGTGCAGTGCTATGAATTATATCCTCACTGGTAAAATTCAAATACCTACATGTGTCTCATGGCCACTGCACTGAAAAAGTCCAGCTCTGAAGGCAGACCCTGATGAAACATGGCAGACCTGGGTTCAATCCCAGCACCGCACATAGTCCCTCAAGCCCACCAGGAGTGATCCCTGAGAATGAGCCAAGTGGATGTGGCCCAAAAACAAAAAGCATGATCCTCTGTAACTGTATCTTATGGTGACAGGGTGATTCAACCACAGCAACAAAAATTTAAAACAAGAGAAGCATGATCTTTATGAACTGGACTGTCAAATAATGATTAACAGAAAATGATCAGAAGACACTGGATATGACACCATTCCCACCCTAAGGAATTTATTAGGTATGAAAAATTTGCTATTCCTTGGGGTCACCGGGGTTCAGGTGCTCACCAAGTCCAGCCCTGTTTCTTTTCCTGGTACTGCATACGGCCCAGCAGGGGTTGCTGGGGAAATACTCCTGCGTGCAGAGCCAGGAAGAGTCCCTGAGCACTGCTGGATCTGATCCCCAAACAAAACAAAATGTTGTCTTACGTACAACATCACAGAAAAACAAAAACAAAAAAAAATGTGCTGGAGAGTACAGTGGGTAGGGCATTTGCCTTGCATACAGCTGATGTGGGTTCAATCCTTGGCACCACATACAATGCCCTGAGCATGCAAGGAGTGATCCCTGAGTGCAGAGCCAGGAGTAAGCCCTGAGCACTTGTGTGTGAGCACAGGTGTGGCCCAAAGGACCAAAAAGCAGAAGAGAAACAGTGTCTGAGCGCTGCCTTTTCCAAACCACGACCTGCTGTGATGGGGGGAAGGGCGCTGTGGAGAGGGGCGAGTGTTTACCTGTGCCGGCTAGAGTGAGGGCTGGTTCCTGCAGGAGCGCCTTTTCCCGGGTGCTCAGTGGGTGCTGTGATCCGGCCTGGAGGGGCTCCCCCAGGGGGCAAGCCCAGGGATATCCGCTAGGAGCCTGCAGCTGGAAGTCCGGCAGTTCCTGCTCTCCAAGCTGAGATCCAGTTTTCTCCAACAGCACCTTCTGCCCTTCCAAACACACGGCCACCTAGAAACAAGCCCCACCCATCGGAACACAGAGGGAGGAGGACTGGCGCCGACCCCATGCCTTCTTAGCAACCCTTTTCCCCGGAAATCCCGTGTAACGGCCGGGCAGTGGACTGGGGTAGAGACACTGCAGAAGGGGACAGGCAGCAGGTCCCCAACAAGGCTGATGTTTCCTGAGTGACAGGCCAGTCCCTTGCCTGCAGCCAAAGACATGGGACATCTGGCATATGGCTCAGTCCCGATGGGGGCCTACCAGGTCCCACCCTTCTCTGCTGGAAGCAGGTGGCGAGGCCCTTAGAAACCGTGCAGCTCCGAGGCCGGATCAGTAATATGGGAGACACTTGGCTGCCAGCGACTGCTTCCGGCCAACCCCAATCACCTGCATCACAAATGTCCCCCTAAACATCTCTGGGGCGACTCCTGAACAGAGCCAGGAACAGCCCCTGAGCTCTGCGGGGTGTGGCTCCTAACTGCCCACCTGGCCCATCTCCTACGCATAGGGCTGCTGCCCACGGGCCCTAGCTTGGGTCTGAGTTGCCAGTGAGACCTGAGACTGGTTAACCGCACTGTGACGGCCTGGCCCAAAGGCAGCAGGACAGCGCTCCACTGCATCAGACCCCCGCCAGTACAGCTGAGAAAACTGCAGGAAAACTTCAAGGGAACGGAAAGGGGACAGCTGACAGCAGGATTCTCCCAGGTGCTTGAGGCTCATCAAGGAATAGGAAGCACCTTGGATCCGACTTCTCCGCAGAACGCCACTCTCTTGACGTTAGGAGGGCTGTTACATTAACTGGCTCCTGGACAGAAGCCCAAAGCAACCCTCGAAACCATCCAATTCGCCTCTCCAACCTCCCAAAAGACGCCAAAGCCTAAACTGCATCAGATGGGGACCAAAAAAAAAAAAAATCAAACCCTATGACTGCCCGCAGTCCCTCCTCACCCACTGCTTGGGCTTCTTGGCCGCCCTGCGAAACTCCTCCACGAGGGCCACCACCTCCTTGCTGCTCCTGGGACACCGCTGCCGAAGCCACAACTGGACGTCAGGGGGCAGGACGTTGAGGAACTGCTCCAGCACCAGCAGCTCCAGAATCTGCTCCTTGCTGTGCGCTTCAGGCCGCAGCCACTGGCGGCAGAGCAGCTGCAGCCGGGAAAGCGCCTCCTGCGGGCCCGACTCCTCCCGGTAACGAAACTGCCTGAAGCTCCGCCGAGAGAGCTCGGGGTCCGGGCCGGGGTCGGGGTCGGGGTCGGGGTCCGCTCCCGGGGGCGGCGGCGGCGGCGGCGCCCTCTGAGCCTCCAGCTTCGCGACGATGCGTCTCTCTTGCCCGGAGCGGGCCTGGGCGGGGGGCTGCGGGCTCAAAGTGATCTCCAACTTGGCTGCCATGCCGGGGCGCAGGCGGCAGCTTTCCCGATCACGCCCGGGGGACCATGGCCCCGGGCGCCCCCGAGGATGCCAGGCGGGAGCCTGGGCACCCGGATGCAGCAGTTCCAGTCAACGGTCTGCCTGAGCGCGGGCCTCCGGGAGGGCCGCCGCGGACGCGCGGAACTCGGTGATCAGCACCCGGGCTCTGCCAGACCCGGCAGTTGCAGCCCCCGGGAACGTTCCAGCCGCGGGCATCGATCCCGCGAGGCAGGTGCGCCCACGCACGCCGAGGCGCGCGCCAGGCCGGGGCTGCGGGGGTCCCGGGTGCCCCGCCTGGGCCCTTCCCCTCGCTGGTCCCGGGAGCCAGTCCGGCCCGGCTCCTGCGACCACACGGCCGCGACGGGGCCTGCGCCCCGCGCCCACCTGCAGTCCGAGGACCCCCCGCGCTGAGGCCGGGAGCCGGGCCGAAGCCGCGGGGCGCAGACACGCCCACTGGCTGCGGAGTTGCCAGGACAGGCCCGCCTTCTCCCCGAAGCGATTGGCTCCGCCAGGGCGTTATCCTTCGCTGATTGGCTGCAGGCTGTGACGCTCCTGCGCCAAACGCAGTGCAACTTGGGAGTTGTGGTCCAAGGCCAGGCTCCAGCGCCTGCGCAGTCAGCGAAGCCGTGCGGGGCGCTGCAGGGGTGCTAGCAAAGCGGACTGTGGCCGGGGGCAGAGCGAGTGTGGGTAGTAGGGGCTGCGGGTATATGTCGGGCCGGGGGCTCCCCTCGCTCCCACCCTGCGTCCCAGCCAACCTGCGCTGCTCAGAGCCGGTCTCGGTTCCAGCGCCCCGTGCCCGACCCTCTGGCCTGTGAGCCCGCAGTATCCGTCCCACCTCACCCCAGAGCAGTGGGCCGGACTCCTGTCCAGCATCGTATCGTTGTAGAATCATCGATGATCAATGTACAATGAGTTTGTTTTTCTTTTTGGGTCACACCTGGCGATGCACAGAGTTACTCCTGGTTCTGCACTCAGGAATCACCCCCTGGCAGTGCTCAGGGGACCACATGGGATGCTAGGAATCGAACCCGGGTTGGCCGCGTGCAAGGCAAATGCCCTAGCCGCTGTGCTATTGCTATTGCTCCAGCCCCCCCCCCCCCATTTTTTTTAAAGAGGGGGAAGGTTAGAGCTTACCTCTGGCTCTGCACCCATATTACTCCTAGTGAGGCTGGGGGACCCTATGGGATGTGAGGATCCGGCCGGGGCAGGCAGGTGCAAGGCAGAGGCCCTACACTACTATTGCTCAGGGCCCAAAAATGGAACAGTTTTTGTGCCAGCATTTAATAGTCGGCTGTGCCCCAGGATGTAAGGAGTCTAGAGGAGCTGGGTGATGCCCCATGCAAAGAGAACATTTATTTATCCAAGTAAGGTGCCAGATGAAGAAACGACGTCGGGCAGGGGTATTTTCTTGTCCAGGACTTGGGGCTGCTGTTGGTTGCAGGATATTGATACCTGTCCTGCTGTACAAAGAACAAAAGTGAAGTAAAGTTTGTTATTTGATTGATAACTTGAATCCATTGCTTAAAACTAGTTATTTTTCGTCCTGTGAAGAAAATTAAACTTTTGGTGAAGAGCACTTAACTCCAGCGTCAATGCTAGAGTTGGGACTTCTCCCATCCCTCCTTGAGAACAAGTCTAAGACTTCACAGGCTGGGCTTCTGCCCGTGTACACTCGGAGGCTGGGTGGAGATGGGGCCCATGTGGTCCCCTGGGCAGCCCCAGGATATTCCAAGGGGGCCACAAATGAAAGCTGTGCCAATAGGGTGCCATGGTGTGACACTGCAGAGAGCCAGCTGATGGGGCCAGGGAAGGCAACCAGGAAGGAAACCGGGGCTGACTGGCTGCAATCAGACCAAGGTGAAGAGTTGAGCTGTCAGGAATGGCCGACCAGGGCCGGCACTGGTCCTGGATTCCCGCCCAGAGCAGCAGCCATCAGGTGCAGGGTGATGGATGCCCCATCGAGAGCTCCCTCCAGTCGATTCAGTCTCTTTACTCCTGGATTGTCTGGTGCCAGGAAACTGAGAGGAAACTGCTGGGCTTGCACTTTTAGGTGTTTTCCTACCCTTCAAATTGCTCAATCTTCTAGTATGCTGGACTGTAAAGGAACATCAAGAACTAGAACTTTTTTTTTCTTTTTTTGGGTCATATCCAGTGATGCACAGGGGTTACTCCTGGCTCTGCACTCAGGAATTACCCCTGGCGGTGCTCAGGGGACCATATGGGATGCTGAGAATCGAACCTAGGTCGGCCGCATGCAAGGCAAATGCCCCATCTGCTGTGCTATTGCTCCAGCCCCAAGAACTAGAACTTTTAACCCTTGCCCATCATCTAATCCAGATGGGTTAGGAAAAACATATCAGAATTGGAGAATAATTTGTTTTTTAATTCATTCATGGAAATATTTGCCTATAATGTACAGATACAAAGTGGCTAAATCAGACATTTTATCTTCTATAATCATCCTCCTTGGACCACTCAGACATACCAACATCAGGTGGCTGGAGTGATAGAGCAGGTGGTAGTGGTTTGTCTTGCATGAAGCTGACCAGGGTTTGATCCCCAGCACTCTATATGGTCCCCTGAGCATGCCAGGAGCGACCCCTGAGTGGAGTCAGGAGGAAGCCCTGAGTATCACTGGATATAGCCCAAAAGATGGAGGAACAAACCCCCCTGGAAAGACAGTTAAAACTCAGGTAGGAGCATGCACTCACTAGCTGGAGTTGCTCTTCAGCGGGGTGGGGAGGGTTGGGGCACAGGACAGTGCTCAGGGATCACTCCTGGTTCTGTGGTCAGGAATCACTCCTGGTGGTGCTTAGAGGACCGTATGGGGCTCTGGGGATCAAACCCCAGCTGGATGTGTACAAAGCAAATACCCTCCCCCTCTGCACTAAATAATCACTCCTAGAAGTATTAAAGGGACCATATGGGATGCCGGGGATTGAGCCCTGGTCAGCCGCATGCAAGGCAAACACCTTACTTGCTGTACTATCTCTCTGGCTCCTAAACCAATAATTTTTTTTTCTGGTGCCACTATGGAACCCAGGGTATCATATATGTAAGGTATGAGCTGTATGAGCCCAATTCCTGACTTTTTTCCTCAAATTTTTACCGCTTTGTGTACATTTTTGAGACTGGAATTAAATATGTGCATTTCAAATGTGACCATTGTGCTGAATCCAAAAAGAACAATACCTGTCTCTTCCTGTTCCCCCCAAGTTCTTTTGCCACTAAAGGAGCTGGCTAGTGAGTTCAAAAAGTGTGGGCATGTTATGCGTGTGTTCGGTGGTCAAGAACCACCACCCCAGGCCAGCCAAAGGCCACAGGCAAACCAAGGAGCAGGGAACTGGGACAAAGGAATGAACAAGAGAATGGAGGACCAGGCCCAGGCTGATAGGGAGTCAGGGACTGGTTATTCCATTTATTTCTCTTTTCCCCTCCTTCTCTCTTATGGAGTATTTATATAGAAATCCTGAAGGGTGGGAGGTACACATAGGTGGGCTTGAACATTGCCATAACAACAAACAGATGTAAATCCCCTCCTTCTGGGGAAGTTCTAGGAGATTATCTCAGGGACAAAAATCTCATCTGGGGGTTCAGCACTCTAGATTATTAGGAGATCCACTCAAGGGTGGGATTCCATGTAAAGGTGTACTGCTTTCTCCTTTTCTCAGCTAGTAATCCACTTAAACAATTATACTGAATTTACTTCTTACTAATATTTCTAGTCATTTTGTATGGACACAGTAAGAGATATATTAAGCTCAAAGAGCAGCTCTTCCTGGGGACATCTTGTTATATATCCAGACTCAGCGCTTGGGCCTGATACCCCAGCATGGTCCATCAGTTACTTCTTTTTTGAATCATGACAAAGTTTGTTCTGTGACTGTGCTTTTTTTTTTCTTTTTTGGCTTTTTGGGCCACACCTGGTGGTGCACAGAGGTTACTCCTGGCTTTGCACTCAGGAATCACTCCTGGTGGTGCTCAGGGGACCATATGGGATGCTGGGAATTGAACCCGGGTCAGCCGCGTGCAAGGCAAATGCCCTACCCGCTCTGCTATCACTCCAGTCCCTCATGACCATGCTCTTAACTACTATATTTCTTATGGTGCTTAACTCGTACCTTTTTGATGCCAGGGTAGCTTACAATTTTCCCTGGGTTTTCCCAAGTCCCTCGCCAGAACCCTCTTTTGGGGGGTATTTGGAAGTAAGGGCAACTGAGTCAGGTAAATATGAGGAAAAAATTGCAAAACTTGCTGTTACTGTTTTTGGCATATCGAACATATCACGGGGAGCTTAGCAGGAGTAAATCTTATTTGGAGTCAATTAATTCCCATGTTACAAAAGCATAGCATCAACTGTCATCCTTTGTCTACACAAAAAGGACATTGCTAAACCTTGCAAAGGACATAAAGAAAAGAGGAAAGTAATATAGGATTATTAGTGTCTGATGGAATTGGGTGTGCCTCGGGAGCACTGTGGTGGGAGTAACTCAATAAATCTAAGCTCCCTGCAGGAGGAGCAAGGACAAACCAGTGTTATCCAACATCTCCCTCTTTTCTGTTTGCAAAATACAAAAAAATTTAAATTTCAACCCACCTCTGAACCCTGAGCAGTGTTTGTTACAAAATGTCCAATTGTTGCTCAATTCTTGGTTGATAGAGGACTGCACTGTCCAGAGCTGGAGAACCTGATGGAATTTGATGTGCCTCAAGAGCACTGTGATGTGAGTCCTGAGGGAAGACCAAGGACAAACCAATGTTATGCAACAGCTAGAGGAAGTGACCATTCAGTCTCCTTGGTAGTTATGAATAAATGAGTCAATTGTAGCACTGTTGCTCTGTCCTTCCGTTGTTCATCGATTTGCTCGAGCGGTCACCAGTAACATCTCACAGCGAATTGTGAAATTTGCTGTTACTGTTTTTGGCATATTGAATATGTCACGGGGAGCTTACCAGGTTTTGCCATTTGGGCGAGATACTCTCGGAAGCTTGCTGGGCTCTCCAAGAGGGGTGGAGGAATCGAACCCCAGTAGGCTGCGTGCAAGGAAAACGCCTTACCCGCTGTGCTATCGCTCCAGCCCCTGTGCTATCTGGCAATCATTGCTTGATCACTTGACTTCCTGTTAATCGTTGATTTGCTCGAGCAGGCGCCAGTAACGTCTCCATTTGTCCCTGTCGCGTGCTAGTGTAGCCCAATGGCATCTGTTCGCTCCGGGAACATGAAGAGCCTCAAACCGATCGTTCATGATCTTGACGAAGAAGTCTGACCATCTGGTAGGTGGGCAGCCACGCGGTCTTTTGACATCCCGTGGAATCCAGTCCGTAACAGCTCTAGTCCAGCAGTCGTCTTTAAATCTCATTACGTGACCAGCCCTTCTGATTTTTGACACCTTGGCAAACGAGACAGCGTCCCTGATCCTTGATCGTCGACGGATGTTAGAACTCCGGATTCTTTCTCTCATTTGAGTGAAACGTGATATTCCAAGCATAGCCCTTTCAATTCCTCTTTGGGAGACCCGAATAGCGTTCTCATCTTGTTTGCGCAGGGCCCAGGTCTCTGAGGCATATGTTAATGCAGGAAGAACAGTGGAATCAAAGAGATGTGCCTGGAGCTGGAGGTTCTTCATCCTCTTAGCTATTTCTTCGACGCTCTTGAAGGCGTTCCAAGCCGCTCTCTTCCTCCTGCGCAGCTCGGGTGCCAGGTCATTTGTCATGTTGACTTCATATTTTTGTTTTGCTTCGTTTTGGGGCCACATCCAGCAATGCTCAGGGGTTACTCCTGCACTCAGGGATTGCTCCTGCTGGTGTTTAGGGAACCACATGGAATGCCAGAGACCAGACCTGGGTCAGCCACATGAGAGGCTAGCGTCCTACCTGCTGTGCTATTGTCTGGCCCCTGCTGGCATTCTTTTCTTCTCTTTAGGAGTTTGGTCATGTGTCACTTCCTTCAAACTTCATCTAGCCTGAGGGTTCTGATTAAGCACTTTGAGCCTACAACTCTCTGGACTTGGATTCAGTCATCAAGGTGATGTCCATAATTGGCCAGTCCTGGAGATAGAGCTCAGCCTCACTTACAGGGCGAAGAACTGAGTGGGGCGGTTGGTCATTGCTCTGATATACAGCTTGAAAAATCACACTTAGGACAGAACTGTGCCACTGACTGATGGGGGGGACCAGACCAGCATTCTAACTCCAGTACCAGAGTGTTGGGGAGGACCAAGTGTTAGATCTTGAGGCCAGGAAAACCCCTCATGGCTGGAAGGCTTTCCCTGAGCTCTAAAACTTCACTGACTGGGGCTGGAGTGCTGGCACATCGGGTAGGGCATTTGCCTTGCATGCGGCCGACCCGGGTTCGATTCCCAGCATCCCATATTGGTCCCTCAAGCACCACCAGGAGTAATTTCTGAGTGCAGAACCAGGAGTAACCCCTGTTCATCGCTGGGTGTGACCCCCCCAAAAAAAACTTTGCCGACAGACTCGTAGTGCACCTGGTCTGCCCGCCAGACTGCCATAGCCAAATTCTGGTGGTAAATTTGACAACTGGGACTCTGGGAGTTATTTCAATGAAACTCTACCAAGGTAGGGAAGAGGGTGTTGGGGACACCCCCAGCAGTGCTTACGTCTTACTCCTGGCTCTGTGCTAAAAAATTATTCTTGGCAAGTCTTGGGGAACCAAATGCAGGGATCAAACCAGGGTCAGCTGCATGCACGGCGAGCACCCTAGTCACTATGTCGTCTCTCCAGCCCTCAAAGACGGGATTCAGAAAGAGACACAGAGGGGCTGGAGCGATATTCAGGGGGTAGGGATTTGCCTTGCATGCGACCAACCCAGATTCGATCCCCGACATCCCATATGGTCCCCCAGCACTGCCAGGAGTGATTCCTGAGTGCAGAGCCAGGAGTAACCCCTGAACATTGCTGGGTGTGACCCAAAAAGCAAAAAAAAAAAAGAGCGATGGACAAAGGGGACAGGTCAAGTACAAAGAATTATTTGGACAGTCATTAGGGATTAATAATACCTGGCTTAGTTTTATGGTATTACAGTAACATTATGTAAGATACTGCAAGTGGAGGTACTTTCTCCAGAAAAGCACAGAATTCTCTAGACATACAGGCATACTAAGTAACCTGTGGACAACAGAGACTATGAGCGAGTTCTGTGCTCCGAGTCTCCAGTCACACAGTCTCTCTGGAAGCCACACTCGGATCTTCTGGAGTCAGTTCAGAGCATCTGCAATAACACTAACCAGTGCCCGATGGTCAAGGGTCGAAGGGAGAAGGTGCTGGCTGCAGCGGGGCTGTCTGCCCCTTCCCCGTGGCCAGAGAGAGGAGGAGAGACAGTGCACGACGATTGGAGACACAGAGAATGGCACAGCCCCCCTCAGCCGACTTCCCTCCCCTTCCTCAGCAGCCTCCTCAGTGCCCCCTTCACTTCCTTGTTCCGCAGAGTGTAGATGAGAGGGTTGACCATGGGCGTGATGACCGAGTAGAAGAGGGAAATAAACTTGCCCTGGTCCTGGTTGCTGGACTTTGCAGGCAGCAGGTACCCGTAGATGGCCGAGCCGTAGAAGAGGAAGACCACCAGCAGGTGTGAGAGGCACGTGTTGAAGGCCTTCCTGCGGCCCTCGGCGGAGCCGATCTTCAGCACGGCCCGAGCGATGTAGCAGTAGGAGACCAGGATGACGCTCAGTGGGACCGCGGTGAAGAAGGTGCAGACACCGTTGAGCACGGCCTCATTGAGATGCGTGTCCCCGCAGGCCAGCTTGATCATGGCAGGCACCTCGCACAGGAAGTTGTCCACCCTCCGGTGCCCACACAGCGGGAGCTGCAGAGTGAACGTGGATTGGATCAGAGAGTTTCCCAGCCCTCCCAACCAGGCCACGACAGCCAGCCGCCAGCAGAGCCCAGGGTTCATGATGGTGGTATAGTGTAGGGGCCGGCACACCGCCACGTAACGGTCAAAGGCCATCACCACGAGCAGAATGCACTCGGTCGCCCCAAGCCAGAGGAAGACGTAGAGCTGGGTCACACAGCCACCGTAGCTGATGGTCTTGTCTGGCCCCGACAGGTTGATGAGCATCTGCGGGACAGAGCTCGTGGTGAAGGCGAGGTCCAGGGAGGAGAGGTTGCTGAGGAAGAAGTACATGGGCGTGTGCAGCCGGGGATCCAGTCGAGAGAGCAGGATGATGGTGAAGTTCCCGATCAGGGTCAGCAAGTAAGAGAAGAGGATGACCACGAAGAAGATCATCTCCAGCTCGGGGTGGTCGGACACGCCCGTCAGAATGAAGCCCTCTGGGAAGCTGCTGTTGGTCCCAGCCATCTCGAGGAATCTCTCCAGGGCAAACTGCAGGGGAGAAGAAGGGGAGAGAGAGCGATGGGATCAGGAGCAGGGTAGAAACTGCATGCTGGTGGTGCCCAGTGCAGCCCCCAGCCACGGTCTGTCCCATTACAGGAAACTCTTCCACCCAGATGTCAAATAGACATGAAGGGAGTGCCTTTAGGAAGACAGAAGAGAAAGATTAGGATCTTCTGCTCCACATGGCAATTAAAACAGGAGAGAGTGGGAAAGAGATGTAGAAATGTGGGCCAGAGAGATTGGACAGCAGGTAGGGTGTTTGCCTTGTGTGTAGTCAACCCAGGTTCCATCCCCGGCATCCCGTCTGAGCCCCTCCAAGCACTACCAGGGACAACTCCTGAGTGCAGAGCCAGGAGTAACCCCAGGGAAGCTCCAGGTGTGGCCAAAAACCAGCCAAACAAAAAGATGTGGAAATGCTCGTACCAATTTCTCAAGTAAGGCTTTGGGAATTCGTGGAGTGGGGCAGCTGACCTACTGCACTTTGGAAAAGTCCTCAGATGTCTGTGATCTATGTACTCCCTTTCTACATGTTCCAATCCCAAGTGGAAGAGGGGTGATCGAGTTAGAGGATTAACTGATGAATCTACAGTCCCAGGGGAGGAAGGGAAAGAGTGAGCACAGACTTAGCAAAAGTATTAGACGCTAGAAGGAGAGTTACGGGCAGGGAGATACAGAGCGAAACAAACTTCAAGTAAGTATAAGTGGAACCAGATGAAAGGACCAGTAGGGTTCACCCAGAGGCACGGGTCAGCTCCTGAGTGTCCACAGCAAGTGAAGGCAGCTGGGAGACTTGTGGAAGGATATGGCTGGACCCACCCACCTCTGAGCCAAAAAAATAGTTCCCAGTGCCAGCGGCTGACCCAACCCTGGGCCAACGGTCACCACCTTTCCTTGGGGAAGATCTAGGATTTTCTAGAAACATACCAACTTCTTCCTATTTATTCCTAATAAAGAAATTGAAGGAAAAACAGAAATAACTCCGAGGCAGCCTCTGCACACAGGGCTCACTTCAGGTGGGGCTCGGGGGTCAGAGGGGTGCCCGGGGTCAAACCCAAGTCAACCGCACAGCAATTACCCTCCTCCTGTGCTGCGTCTCTGACCCTTGCTTCTCCCTGGGGACACGCAGTGGGCCACTGGGCCTCTTCTTCCAGAGCGAGGTAGACGCGAGGGCTTCCCAGGGAAGCAGTGGCCGCTGGCTGCACCTCTGGCTGAAGACCCCCAGGGCCATCTTTCATCCACAAGCACCCAAAATACTAGAGATCCAGATGCTCCATGCCCCAGGGAACCAAGGGGGAAATTGTTGCTGCGGCTTCAGGTCATTAGAGGCCTGCAGTGAGTCAGGGGAAAGGGCTCCTGAGACCTTTTCGTCTTTCCTACCTAGGAGGACATTACTGGGTCCTGTCTCTTGAGTCAGGACTTGAGGGGGGGCCTGTTGCCGCCCTGGGGTTGTGCCCATGTTTCTGTCCAAAGGTTTTTGTTTTTGTTTTGTCTTTTGAGTCACACCTGGCGATGCTCAGGGGTTCCTCCTGGCTCCGCACTCAGCAATTACTCCTGGAAGTGCTGGGGGATCCTATGGGATGGTTGAACCCAGGTCAGCCATGTACCAGGCAAACGCCCTCTCCTCTGTCCTATCGCTCTGGCCCCATGTCGAAAGTTCTCGCAGGCGTCCCCTCACCAGCTCCTGCTTCTGAGCTACTTGTCCTGGGTGCCTCCATCCACGGCCTTCCATATTTGTGTGGTATCCATGGCTAGTGCTTTGTGCGTGCCCACTGGTGCCAGAATTTTGTCTCAGTCCCCACTCTACACAACCAGCAGGGGGTTTGTTTTGGGCTTATACCTGGCAAGGTTCAGGGGTTTCTTCTGGCTCTGTGCCCAGGTATCAACACCCCTGGCAGCAGGGTTGAGGACTGGACCCAGAGAAACCTTACCACTCCAGCCCCAACAAGCAGTTTTTTTTTTTCTTTTAGGGCACACCCGGCAATGCTCAGGAGTTACTCCTGGCTCTTGCACTCAGGAATTACTCCTGGCGGTGCTTAGGGGACCATAAGGGATGGTGGAAATCGAACCTGGGTCGGCTGCGTGCAAGACAAATATCCTACCAGCTGTGCTATTGCTCCAGCCCCTCTAACAAGCAGGTTTTTTAAATTTTTGGGTCACACCCGGCGATGCACAGAGGTTGCTCCTGGCTCATGCACTCAGGAATTACTCCTGGCGGTGCTCAGGAGACCATATGGGATGCTGGGAATTGAACCTGGGTCGGCCGCGTGCAAAGCAAACGCCCTACCCTCTGTGCTATCGCTCCAGGCCCCTAACAAGCAGTTTTTAACCCAGGTATAAACTAGTCAAAATGGCAAAGGAAAACCAGAGCCCAGCCATGCAGAAAGTTTCAGAGAAAATGTCAAACCAGCCTGACTCAAGCTGAGCATGACAAGCGCCTCACACTGATATGAGGGGGACTGAGGTTGAGTTCAGCAGCTCAACAAGGCATTTCCCTCCCTTAAGTGACCTCCCCTCTTGCTTCTCCGTTCTCTCAGAGTTAACATACATTTACTTATTTAGGGACCACCCCTGGCGGTGCTCAGGGATTACTCCTGATTCTGTGCTCAGGAACCACTCCTGGTGGTGCTCACAGGACTCTATGTGGTGTCAACTTCATGCAAGGCAAGCCCCCCGGCCTGCTGTATCTTATTACTGGCCCACAATATACATTTTAAGAAGCACCTAGAGATATTCACCTTAGAGGTTGCACTGTTAATGGTGCCATTTAGATACTGGAGATTCTGGAAGGAGTTTATTTGGGTACAGAGGATTTTTCTTTGTCTTTTGGGTCACACCCAGTGATGCACAGCGCTTACTCCTGGCTCTATACTCAGGAATTACTCCTGGCGGTGCTTGGAGTATACTATAGGATACTGGGAATCGAACCCAGGTCGGCCCAGTGCAAGGCAAATGCCCTACCCGCTTTTCTATGGCTCCATCCCCCACAGAGGATTTTTCTTATAAAAGTCACCCTGAGTGGTACTCAGGGGCCCCCAGCAGATCAAAGGCAAGACAGATGCTTGATCTATTTCCCGGTGCCCCAGCATTTCTTTTTATGAATTTCATATCATGCATCGATGGTTCCCACCTTAGTCTTCCTGTAAGTTTTATTTTGTTTGCTTTGGTTTGGGGGCCACACCTGGTGATGCTCAGGGGCTACTCCTGTCTTTCATTCAGTAATTACTCCTAGCAATGTTCAGGTGACCACACAGGATGCTGAGGATTGAAACTGAGTCAGCTGTGTAGAAAGGCAAACGCCCACCCTGCTGGTCTGCCGCTCCTCACCCTGTAAACTTTGTCTGACAGCTTGTGAGACTGAGAAAAGCAGTTAAGACTGGCTTCTGTAAGGAACTCTAGATGTGTAATTATATGGTTTTCTGCACTTTTCTTTTTTCTATTTCACAACTCTCAATCAGCCTCATGCACAGTAAATCTGAAGTTTAGGGTGAGAGCTTTCCAACAAGGAAATCCTTCCTCAGACGTGGGCACACTCCACGTTGGGGCGTGTGTTCTTAGAATTCAAGTCTTGCTCTACTACTAGTCTGAGCAAAAAAAGAAAAAAAAAGGCAAAGCAATAACCTAAAACAAAAGCAGTTAAATAAGCCATAAACTTAATCCTGAATTCCTTATTCCAGCAGAGAAGTTGTTTTTTTCTTTTTGTTTATTTTATTTTATTTTTTTACTTTGTGGGTCACACCCAGCGATGCACAGGGGTTACCCTGGCTCTGCACTCAGGAATTACTCCTGGCAGTGTTCAGGGGATCATATGGGATGCTGGGAATCGAACCCGGGTCAGCCACATGCAAGGCTACCTACTTGCTGTGCTACCACTCCAGCCCCCAGCAGAGAATTCTTTTTTTTTGCTTTTTTGGGTCACACCCGGCGATGCACAGGGGTTACTCCTGGTTCACACACTCAGGTACTATTCCCGGCGATGCTCGGGAAACCATTTGGGATGCTGGGAATCAAACCTGTGTTGTCCGTGTACAAGGCAAACGCCCTACCCGCTGTGCTATCACTCCTGCCCCCCCAGCAGAGAAGTTTTAAGAAATCTTTTGTTCTGGGCTGGAGAGAGCCTTATGGGCTGAGCACACGCTGACCCCGCCACGAGAGACCCCCAGATAGTGCTGGGAGGGGCCTCTGAGCAACACCAGGTGGAGCCCCAAGACAAAAATAAAATTGTTTGAAGGATTTCCTGCATCTGGGAGACAGTTGAGAGTGTGATTCCTGAGAGCTCTGGCTGCTCGAGGTCTGCAGGAACTCTGTCTTGGAGGTTTTGATCAGATCTGGAGACTGTGTTTGTTTTTTTAACTATCTATGTAGAAAAAAGAAAATGAGCTCAAGGGAGCATATGGCTTTCTCATGGAGAAAAACACCTCATGAAGTAAAATAAGGGAGTTATACACCCTAAGTTGGGATGCAGAGTAGAATGTTGTAATTTTACCCCGAAAATCTGAGAAGCCAAGAATGGAATGGGTGAGGTGGGATCTTTTTGGGGGGTGCGGAGAGGGAGCCTGTGTTCAGGGCTCACTTCTGTGGGGTTTAGGGGACCATATGGGGTGCTAAGATCGAACCCATGTCAGCTACATGTGAGGCAAATGCCCTCCCTGCTGGACTAACTCTCCAGTTTCTGATAAGTTTGAATCTTAAGAGAGAAAAAAGTCCAGTAATTTTAAAATCACCTGGTTTACAGTGAGCATTTGGACAGCTCATGCAGAAGCGGCACCGCCACAGCTGAAGGGCAGAGTTCACTGACACAGTGACGGAACACTGCTCGCTCAGCCCTTCCCGACATTCCACCAGGGCACACGGCCAAGCTCCCTTCAGAGGGATTTCAGTCTCTCCAGTGGGAAAAAGGATGTTGGCCAAACGGACCGTGGCCTGGCCCCCAGGGCGCTCTAACAAGCTCAGGACTTCATAAAACAGAAGGGATAT